ACGGCCCTATAATTTCCGCGATGCGGAAAACACAGACTGGTTCGTAGAATCCAGTCATAAAAACGAAAGTCCTATAGCCTAACGCCGACGGAATGTGCCACATTTTGGACGAATAAATCAAAAGTAGGTCAGTACACTTCAATCAAAACGCGATATGGACTAGTGTTATTAATATTATGAATATTAAGCCGCAAAAAGACAATGAATCCTGCACATTCTGCGTGTCTGTGGAAATCAGGCGCGGACTGGCCATCGGGAGAACCGGGACAATTCCCGGTGGCCTGGCAGCCGATTTGGCCCGCTATTTTAATAGTATTGTATCGTTGCCTGCCGGACTTATTTTAGTGAATAACGTACCAAATTTCAGCTATCATTTTGTTAGGGTGGATACACAAAATGTTATTTTATCCTTGCTTCTAGAAAATCCTCAATCTTTCTGCTTTCTAACAGCTTCATGTGGCCGTAAACATTAAACTTTAACGTGGCTTTAAGCACTATGCATCATTAAAGTTTCACTTTCACCATGACTAAGCCGGTAAATGTGGTGTTTGTCTACATGGAATCCCTGCAAACAAGCCTGCACTGGCCCTTTACGGGCCCACTTAGGGCTGCCAGCACAGGGAGAAGGGTATAACTGCAGCCTGGAGATCTCCAAATGGGGGCGGGCACTCCAAAACGGGGTGGGAGCTTCAAAACGGGGCGTGGTTTCCTCCCATTGACAGACAGGCACATGACACGCATGTGCAATTTTTTCTCCCAATCCATTTCAGTGGAAACTCCGCCCCACAGCTGATTCTAAAGATTTTATTGGTTGTGTCAATCACAGTGTTGATTTCCTACACTATGCTACAATAAATGCTAACCCATAAACCTACCCCACACCTGACCCTAACCCTAACCCTGACCCTCGCAATGTTATATTGAGTCACGTTTATCATGAAAGCATATATACCCCCACTTTATTAGTATTTCAATAGTATATATTTACGTTGAACTTTATTCTTGAACAGATGGCGCTGTATTAAGCAGTATATAAAAAGTGTTTCTGTTGCTCATGAAAACGTTTCTGAAACGTCTGTGTATTTGACAAATATTGCATTTAATTCACTTCATCTGTGATAGAGTATGCAAACACCACGCGAGCGTCACTAACGGGAGCAGAAAGTGTCCGGCTTGACGGCTCCGTTTTCAACTCCGCCCCCGAGTTCATTGCTCCCTACTCCCTGAGTGAGGGAAATCCGTTTAAGTTTACTTCACTTCGGAACATGGGCTGGAATTGGGAACCTGATGTAGCCTATTGTAGTAATGTTGTCTCTGGTCTGTGAGTGTAAATGCGTTCAGGGGGCGTGGCTTTGGACGGCGATTGCAGGAAGGGTGGGACGTTCGCTTTCAGTGCTATCAGGCTAAAGTTAGCATTTTCCAAGATCTATTGTACCTTTAAGTGTGATGAATGTCTGCAATCATTTGCACAAAACGTGCAAACTAATAAAAACATTGTAAACTGTTACAAAATGAAAAAATTTAGTTTAGGCATAGGTTTGTGCAACGCTGTAAATATATTAACCTTTTTTAAAATATTCCATTAAACCTGCTGAGATACAAGGAGCGTGAACTGAAATTCTCAGTTCCACGAGCATGTCCGGGAAACTCATGAATATTCATGTTGGCTCCGCCCACTGAAACCGAAAATCTCGTAACACCGGCTTGACGGCTCCGTTTTCAACTCCGCCCCCGACTGCAAGCGGCTACTCTCGTTGATCGCCGTCTGTAGTCATGCTTCAAGTCAAACGCACCTATAGGCACCTTTTTAGTAACACCCAGCGTCACTACCCCCTCCTTCCCTGTGAATTTCGAGCCCCGGGACGCCCCCGTTGGCTAAAACAAAGCGATAGAGTAAAATCTTTCCCCTGCGCTGCGCTGAGACGGCTTGCGGGAGAGCTCGAGGGTGATTCCCGTTTATTAAGCAGAGGTTCAAACTCCGGTCCGAACAACACTGGCCACGAGCTTTGGGCTCTGCTCTCA